TTTTTTATTCAAAATTGACATGAATGAAGTGATGTTGCCGATTTGTCACCACAGCAATAAATCGGTGAGTCACCAATTTGTTGCCATTGACGATTGTTGCCTATTTCTCATGTTTTGCATGGTGGGACTATACTAAAACGAGCATGACTTTACAATTCACAATTAGCCCTTTAGGCTGGTATGCAGCTGTCAATAAAACGGCCAAGAAAAAATTGCCATTATTGCGTGTGTGTGTCCAAGGAATTTTGACAACTGGCATGGCTTGCCTTGTGCTCTTTTTTCACAAAAGAAAACTTGGGGAAAACCGTAGTCGAAAGCGTAGCATATTTCTTGAGAACTGCGTACTGCCTCAAGAAAATTTTACACAAGATAGCCATTTCTTGTACGTCATTTTATATGGAGTTTTTGCTTTTCTGGAGAGCTACATACTGGCCTTTTAGCGTTAATTACCCTGCAGGGAAAGCTACTAGTTGTGAACTAGAATTCTACCAGTTTGCGTTTCAGCCCAACTAGTTCACGCTTTATCCTTTTTCAAAGCTAGCGACTGGTATTTTTAACATTGCGATGTCCTACGAGATGTCAATTGTCAGGCTATGCATCAGCATCTACTAGTAGAAATACTAGTAGCCTCATACCAGTTGATGAGATAATCTGCCAATTCATCCCCTATGAAAAACATTAGTATGCCTTTTTGCTCGCGGCGCTCCAACAGTCGCAACGGCCGACAGAGCAAAGCACTCGCGCGGTATGCCTGAGGTACCAGGTTCAAGCCCGGGCGCAGGGAAAATTCTTTTATTTTTTTTATTTTTATAATATTGCTTTTATTTAGGGTTTTTTTGTTATTCTTAAATTTGATTTAAAAAAATATTTTTTTTAATATATTTTTTATGGCACAAGTATTTCTTCCCATATATTCGTTTCTTTTGTTTTGTAATGCAACTAGATTTTTAAGTTTGTTATTTATATTTAAATTGAAATAATTATTCCTACTTACATTGATCTAACTTTAAAAATCGTAACCACCTCCAAGCGGCCTCGAACCTGCGATCCCAGACCAGAAAAGCAATTAATTGCGTTTTATTTTTGACTTTGGCAATTCAAAGGCAGATGTCGCTGAACGCTTTAGTTGTTCGAAATTGTCGAACTGGTGGGCTCATACTAGTTTATGAACTAGTATTTTTTCTAACTGGTTTGGGTTTTCACTGCAGGGTATGAGCTATCTTTAACGAGTTCCACACATCACTGTAGTGAAATCGACACATCTCATCTTTTACCATTCGTGTGACTACAAAAAAATTGTGGTTCCCATTTTATTTTTTTATTTTGTACCAATAGCCCAATATAAAAACTACAAATCAGTACAAACGTACCAATCGTGTGACACTGCCTTAAAAGTAAGTAAATGCAAATTGCTAAAAATCCTAAAATATACATGGCATCAAGAAAAAAAAGAAACTCTCTACGTGCTAGAAAAAACCAAAGATGCTTTTTAATTTAATATACCTAAATGTTAAAAAACATCTTTATTGTAGGGGGGGGAAACCAAATTTAATTATTAAAAATACTAATTCCAGTATTCTGCATTACTAAACGTTTTATCAGTCACCTCTTGACAGAACTTACATACATTATACATACATATGTATTATCAAAAAAAAAAAAAAAAAAAATGATTACTTCATCATTGACAAAGTAAGGCCTAGTCATTTATATGTAATATAGCATATAGAAACATATATATGCAGTGCATATTATGCACATAAATCCACAAGATGTGCTGAGTTTAATTGTATTTCGTCTCGCAAGAAAAAAATTAAAAAAAAGCTTTTGAAGTGTTTACACAGTTTACGTCATAAGTATTCTTACTAAGTACTGTACACTAATGGCGCAAATCGGGGGATGATGCAAGTGACAATTAGTTTTGTAAATACGAGTTATTAGTTTAATATACACTCATACTTTGTATGAATGCTGATAAAGTAAAAAAAATATCGGAATTATTAATCTTAAAGGGAATGACTTTGAAAAATTTGTAGATATTTTTAAACGCAAATATAAATAAAAAAAACTTCTTTCTAAATTGATTTGCTAATAAGCGTTTATTTTTCTATAACGGCAAAAACTACCACTATAAAGGGAAATTCAAAAATTAACCGAAACCGAATTAACTACGGAAAGCCGGAACCGGAGTAAATGAAGGTATAAATCTTGGAAAAAAATTAAATTGGGCATAAGGGGTTTTTTGTAACAGTCGGTCTGTCTGTCCATCGGTCCGTGTACCCGATAGCTCCAGCAAAAGTTGAAATATCTTACTGATATGGGCGGAATCGGTGATTAACCATGCCAACCTCCCATATAACGGGTTTCTTCCGAAAAAATGCATTGAATAACTCAGTGTGAGGGCAGGACCAGGATGAATGTATTTGCATAAAAATTTATTAAAGCAAAAATGTTTTGGGTAGGCGCCGGAGCCAATGATAACCATCAGTTACCACCTCTGCATGGTTGTAAGTCATGCAGAGTCCCTACGGCTTGTAGCGCTGTGGCTTTGCCGCTTAAACTCTGTAAGAGTTTTTTGGGGGTGTGCGTCAAGCGGGAGTGTTGAGCACTGGTTATTGATTCAAGTTCAAAAATTGGGTAGGCGCTGTGGCCAATGGTAGCTCTTGTACCACCTCTGTATGCTGAAAGTCATACAGAGCCCCAACAGCTTGTAGCGCTTTGGCTTTTGCTGTTTAAAACCACTCCGGAGGAGTGGTGATGCATCAAGCGGGATTGTTGAGCATGATTTGGGGTGCCAGCAATTAACTACTTTAGTAGGTTTTGTTCTGCGGCAGTTGAGAAGTGCATAAAAAAATGCATACCCAACGAGAACGAGAATTAGCCATTACTTGCAAAAACCGGAAGAAGAAGACACACCAGCTGACTTTGTTTATGTTTTATTTGTAAACAAACTGAAATTCATGTTGCCTCCATAGAAGAAAACAGGAAAGTGAACGTTCAATGTTCGCCAGGAACATTTCTAGAAGTAAAAACTAGTTGGGGCTATCATAAAGTCACATAGCAGGCAGCCAAAAAGCATATAAATACCAAAACTCGGAAAATGCAATTTTGTTTGTTTATAAAAATTGCAACCATATGTTTTGTGATCATATGTTTTCGTGTTGGATAATTTTTGCTGACTAAAATTTTGCCAGTACAAAATGAACGCTTCTCTTGCATCAAAATGAACGCTCGCTCTCTCAATTTTTGTGTGCTGGATAATTTTTTGTCGTTATCGAACGCCATCCAGTAAAAATTTGGAAAAACTATTACAAATTTTTGACTTGTCGAACGCACCTTATATATCGGTTAGCGCCTTATTGATTTTTAAAAACTTGGATTAATAATTTCATTAAGTCTAATTGAGCACATTATCGAAATTGTTTGAAATAAAGGAAAAAAAATTTGCTTATAAAATAGTTTACAGAAAGGTGCAAAAACGACATTTAGTACATGTGCTGGGTATACTTTTGTTCTTGTGTTTTTTTGTTTTTTTAGCTAACCCATTGCCATTGACCAATTTATTAGCATACATAGCGTGGTAGTGCAGAGTCGAACCAGTCGGGAGCAGAATAGAGAAAAACTACGACAGAGGGCGCACATAAATCACCCAAGTGACTACTTAAGAATGCACATAAAATGACTTTTCATTCAAAGTATTTTTCTCTTTCAATTTGTAGTACTCGTAATACAATCTGCACAAGCAAATTGTTTTTGCCATTTAAAATTAATTGTAAAAAGTTGTAATAATTACTTAATTTAATCAAAATTGCCTCTAATGAGAGTCTGCAATATTTATTTGCGTAATTGTTTACGATAATTATTATTTTTTTGCTCACATGCTAAAAATTAAGAATTAATTATATTATGCAGTGTTGCCAGAACTTTTTCAGGAAAAAGGCCAAAAGGGCAAAGAAATAAAGGCAAAAAATGCTAAATCAAAATTTTAATTACGGTAAAAACATAGCTAAATTAACGAATCAAATATTTTTTGTCGTTATTATAACTTTATAGCAGTGCCAATGTTTAAGATAAAAATGGTGTATTTTTGTAAGGAACAACTTATTTTGCACTTAAGTAAATATTTTTCGTAGCGTCCATATGTCCTGGTACTCAAATGAGTCTGACCGGGAAAATTCTCTTGACAAAACAGATATCGGATAAAGTCGAAGCCTTCCTCATCGAAGTAAAATATCATGACGTTTGCCTATATAAACATTTTATTACTATTGCAGTAAATATTTTTAGCAAAAGTAAAAAGCTAAAAAAAAGCCAAGCAAAAGGCCCGAAGCTAAACAGAATTTTTCCGGCTAAACCCAAATAAAAAAAGCTAAATATAGCCGAAAAATAGTTAAAATGGCAACACTGATATTATGTCGTTGGATATGAAAAATTGGATAATTTCATTAATTCGCACAGGAAAATTAGTACATTGAAAGAGAATTACCAAATAATTGCAGTAGTTAAAAAGTCAAATATTTTTGTTTTAGTTTGACATTCATTTATCTATATATGTATATGAGTCTTGTATGTATGTAACTATATCGAGCCCTAACCGCCAAAATAACGCAAACAACATTTTTTTCAAAATTTTCTTTTTGATGCAGAAATGTATCTAAATGCTCAAGGAATATTTCTGCATCAAAAAGAAAATTTTGAAAAAAATGTCGCTTACGTTATTTTGGCGGTTAGGGCTCGATACACATACTACATGTGCATATATTATAGTTTTTGATATAAATTTGCAAATTTTTTCATGATATGGACGGTGTGAAAGTTTTCAAGTAGATATCTTGTTTCCATTAAACTTTTAGCTATTCATTTGAGCTTTTTATGGAAGACTAGTCGATTTCTCCTACTTACGAGTATCTAAATAAAACGAATTCTACATATTTGCATACCATGAAATATTCTACTGATAATTTTAGTACGTATTTGCCAGTAACTGGCTTTGCACTTACCTCGTTTCTTCCACCTTGTTAGCCGACATACATATGCAGCGAAGCGGGACAAATCGGCGATTAAATGTTGGCGGCACAAGCAAGCAGTCTTAGCGCGAATGCAAATGGAATTGTTTTTGGTTTTCACCACTTCACAAATTCTCGGCGCTTCTTTCAATTATGTCTTGTTGTTAAATCGATTATATTCCTGTTTTTTTTTTTGGTTTATAATTTCTCGGCGATTTTAATTCATTCAATTTTTTCTTTTGGTATTTATGCCGTTAATCCTCTTCTAAATATCACAAAATACTAATAAAAGATATTATACAGATATTTTTATTAATAAAATTCCGTACGAAACCGCAAAACACGCATATATGTAATTTGTATAAATATACTATAACCGTTACTGGCTTTTAATTGAGACAAGATTATTTTATTAAACAAGTGGCAAGTGAGCCTGCATTGATAACACCGTCCGACACGATTTTGCACCCATGAAAAAATAAAGCATTTACGGAAAGTTGGGACACAAACTAAGTACCCGTTTTTTGCCGTTTTTCTACATCAAGTAATTTACGGTTTCTAAGGGAAAAATAACCCTTAACAGTCCCTACGCTGAATCGGTCAAAATAATATTACCTTATGATTTTTCACACTTCATTAAATATTGTATCCAAGAGTTTTTTTGATCGGTGATTACGAATCTGTAGTCAGTTCTTAACAATTACAAAATTTCGAAAACAATATGGTGGAAGGACTTTTGAAAAAATGATCAGATTTGTGTGAAATTTGACACGCAAAAGTTCTTTGAGTGGCTGATTACAAAACTGAAATCAGTTTTCAAAAGTTCAAAATGGCTGATGCAATAAAGATCTATCCTCCATATTGGATCCGCCATTTTGAATGCTTGAAAACTGATTTATGTTTTGTAATCAGTCACTCAAAGAACCTTGGATATCTAATTTCATAAAAATCATTTTTTTTTTAAATCCATCCGCCATTTAGAGTTTTTAAGAACTGACTTCGGATTCGTAATCAGCAACAACAAATACCCTTCGTTACGAAGTATAATAAAGTTTGAAAAATCATAGGAGTTGTTAAGGGTTGTTTTTCCCCTTAGAAACCTTTAATGACGTGATCTAGAAAAACGAGTACATTGTTGTTGTTTCTACTTTCCGAAAAAGCTTGATTTTTTTTTATGGGTGCCGAAAAAAGTTCAATTTTGTCGCAAGGTGTAATGAACGCATTGAAATTGTGTCGCATATGGCAGAAGGTTTTTTTTTTTTGCCAAGCGTAAACGAAAGTGTGCAATTCAGAAGATTATTACAAAGGGGCGTGAGAAAAAAAAACTGTGTGGATTAAAAATTAAAGCGATTTAGAGGCAGCAGTTACTGCATTATTATAATAAAAAGTATTTAAATAGCCGCAATGTGGCGAGGTTTTTAATGTCATTGAAAGTAATTGCTAGCTTCTATTTATACATGAACTTAAGTATAGAGTAATACACAGACAATATTTCGAGTCGCATTTTTCAGTTCGTAATAGTTGTTTTACATTGATGAAATATTTCAGAAAGTAATTTCTGTCAGCGGTTGACTATCGGCTGAGCACTCATTGAGCCGACTAGTATAAACCCATTTGTCCAACAGCAGTCCACAAGTTATACAGGAGCTCCTTTTCGCTCTCTATCACTAGAGATGACCTCAAGCTAGACGACTGGGGCAACCTCTTACAGCGGCAACCTAGGAGCAACTGCTGTTAAGAAAAAACTATTTTTCCATATTTTTTTACGGCCCTGCGGAGTGGAAGTGCACTACACAACAGCGGCCGCCAACTTACATAGTTCTTTTTTTCGCCTCGGTTAGCTTATAATGAAAAGCTGCTCGATATTTTAAAAGCATTAGGAACGATATCCTTGGTTTTAAAAGACTCCTCTACATCCCTAATAATATGTATCGCCGGCTCCTTTGATTCTCAAGCGCTCCAGAAAACTCATGATTATTACACACAAATCAATTACAGGCTGATTGGTATAAAACTTTTCGCAGACACGTGGAAGCTTCATACCATTATGCCAATAAACGCTCCCTTGACAGTCCTTCATATACTCTGTCTGTCTTGCGTACACGGAAAGGCGCCACCGAAATGTTATATCCACCACTCTGTAGCTGTGAAATAATAATTTCAACTGGCCCGGATACTTGAAGAGCTTAAACGAGTCAATCGTCCACAGCAAAATGTGTTTCACCAGTAGTTCCCCAGATTGATTGTATTTAAGTGCAAAGTTTCTCGTAGCACTATTTGCATTACGTTATAACTTTGTTGTCAAAATTTTTAAACACTTTTATGAAAGTTAAATTAGGTCAATAAACGCCTGACTTTTTGTATCAAAAATTGTTTTTATACCCGAGCGCACTTGTGCACAAGGGTATATTAATTTTGTTCACATAACGGTTGTTTGTAACAGCCAAAACGAATCGAGATAGATATAGACAAATGTATACATAAATGATCAGGATGAAAAGAGAAATCGATTAAGCCATGTCTGTCTGTCCGTCCGTCTGTCCGTCTGTCCGTCTGTCCGTCTGTCCGTCCGTCCGTGTACACGATAATTCGAGCAAAAATTGAGATATCTCAACGAAATTTGGTATGTAGGTTTCCCTTAATCCAAGGTAGGTTGGTATTGAAAATGGGCGAAATCGGGCTGTAACCACACCCACTTCCCATATAACGGTAATTTCCAGAAATACGAAAACTGCGATATTTTAGTAACTACTGCAGATAATTCACTCAAAATTGATATTTGCAATAATTTTTAGGCGAAAAATAAGAATATTATA